CGTGAAAGGTTTATGTCCCAGATGACAAATGCACTGATAAAACATCGACATGTGAAACCAAATATTAAGCTGCAAATCCATGAAATTATTGTATTTTTTGCAGCCATTTTGAATTTTGGCGGCCATTTTAGATTTGAGGCTAATTTCTCTGTGGCCCTCGATTGATCTTGACTGGTTTATGTACCAGGTGACAAATCAACTGAAAAAACATTGACATAACCGAATAATATGCTACATTTTTTCTAATAATTGTGATTTTTGGCAGCCATTTTGGATTTTGGCGGCCATTTTGGATATGAGGCAAAATTCTTGGTGGCCCTTGATTGATCTTGAAAGGCTTAGGTCTGAGGTGACAATTCCACTTCAAGTTGACAACACCGAATAAATATGTTGTATATCTCTAATAATAGTAATTTTGGCGGCCATCTTGGATTTGAGGCAAAAATTTGGGTGCCCCCCCCCCAAGCTTATTTCAAATAGTATGGGGTCAGGATTATAAAACCGCTGAGAAAACCTTGACCGGAAAAATGGCAGTTTATCCTTCGCTGGGACCTGTCTATAATACATGTGGCACACAAATCGCAAGAAGTGGGTCTTTAAGATTCAAATTCGTTTATTTTCAGTAACAGATTGAGATCAAAACAGCTGTATAACAAAAAAGTTGTACTATTTTTTATTTTATTTTATTTTTTTTCAAAACCATTTCTTATACATGTTTCAAATGGGTGTGCTTTCTCTTCGGCTCCATATGAGTACATTATTCACAATAGAGACATTTAGGGTATCCGACCAGTTTGTCGAAACCCAGCTTGCCAAAACCCGGTTTGCCGAGTCCTTGGCCACTTTGCCGAAAACAAGTTTGCCGAATTTAGTTCACCGAAATCATGACAACCCAGTTTGCTGAAACCCTGTTTGCCGAAACCCAGTTTGCCGAATCTTGCCGTCACCGGCGTACACAAGTGGCCTACAGCATACTGTGCTTTTTAAAAAAATAATTGGTTAGTCAGGGAGGAGCCGTATTTATATACAAATTAAAAGGTAAAATACTGGACACACTTAAAAGCATGGCTCTAGTCGGCCCCTTGATTCGGACCCTCTGTGGGCAAATTTCTGGAGCCACCACTATAGCGCTACGTCGTGCGTATATTTGTAAATTAATATTCATTTATGTATTTCCTTTAAGTGTACATTATTATCTTAATTAAACTTTATATTTATTATAAATAAGCCTATGCTTATAAGACATTTTGTCTGATAGGCCTATTTATTTTGCTGATAGCCGAATTTTTAATCAAGTTTGATTTACAGAATAAGACAAAAGGTAGGTAAAGGTCAGCAATAATTAAACTACGATAAGCCGCTATTTATTATAAGAATGCCTGGTAAGAGAGTCTTGTCCGTACTCAAGCGTATCGCGGCGACAGGTTGAAACCCAGCAGGTCAAATTAGTCTGTAAGTACAATACTAGCTGCTTGGCCCGACTGTACAGCCAAGTTGCTCGACGCAAAATGATGCGTACGGCTGCGTTTCCATTATCACGCGTCTAATTTCAAGCGATTAGGCCTATGCTGAATACTTACTGGTAGTGTTTCTTTAGTGTGAAACCTAGTCTCGTCATGGAGGGAATATATTAATATATAATATGGTTTCATATAGGAAACCAAACGAGAGAGTGTAAAGCCGGTTTTCCACTAGGCGAAAGCGTCGTTCATGCGCATTCACATTTCTATCCGAGTTTTTCGCTTTAGCGAGATTGGTAGTTCGAACTGTTTCTACTTTTTGCGAAGCGAAAAATATGCGCAACCAATCAGAGCTCACGAACCGAACCGACGCCTTCCATTCGAGTGAATTGTTAAGAGTGATTGTGATTATTTTCATGAGCCACTTTAATCAGGTTCGTATTACCTAAAATACGCATGCGCTAAACTACTTGTTTCTTTTGTTAGCAATTCGTTTACTGTATCACAGAATATTATTTCTTCGTTATTGACATACTTTTCCTGATTATCTTCGTTAATTTTACTTCAAGAAATCGTTTTCAATGACACTGTTAATGGCGTAAGTGATAATAGACTAGGCTGCTAATAATGTTTTCGGCAGAGAAAGGAATTATAGAGGTAATGATGGAATTAGATTTAAATGAGAAGAAACAAGAACTAAATCACTTGTAATCAGTTTTCCTGATTGCATCTATAGATGTACCTTAACGTATGGAAAAACATCTAAAAATATTCCTATGACGGAGAAGACATTTAAATTTTATGGAATACGACATCTAGGAGGTTTATTATGGGTAGGCCCTAGGCCAATTTACTTCTTGCAAGAGATTTCAGAAATCCGTTTCTTCAAATTGAAGAAAAGTTTGAACTTCAAATTGAAGAAAAGTTTGAACTTCTGTAGGCTATTTTGCTATAGTATTACCCACCAAAAATTCAAAAAGACAACAGAAATTATAACTCGTCCAAAAATGAGCTATACATATTGAGGTAATGAGGTTACTACACTAAGTTCCTATCTAAACGGTATGCATCATGGGGTACATATTTAATTCCACTGGGGTAGGGATCCACATACCCCATCTGAACCAAACTATGCATCTTGGAGTGAGATTAAAAGGAGCCAGTTCTATAGAATTTGAAATACTAGAGGAACGCGGAAAAAGTTGTGAACAAATTTACAAGAAAAAAAGGCAGAAATGAAGAGAAAAAAGTTCGACCGGGAAGGGGAATTTAAAATGGTGTGTAGTGAAGAACTCAGTGGAGGAGGAAGGAGGGGGAATATAGAGTGTGGACAAGAAAGTAGACAACTTATAAATGGCATAGAACAAGGAAAAAATTGTGGTCTAATTTCAAAACGAAAAATTATGTTAAATATGGGATCGGGGAGATAGTATGTAGAGTAAGATGCCTTGTCGGAAAAGAAGTTTAGCAAAATGAGGCTCACTGCGTTTGAAAAAAACGAAGTTTACAATGAGGAATGCGCCCATAAATAGAATAATATTCCAATCCTGGATAAATTCAAGATGTATAGGATGGAATTAAGGTTGGCCTATTTTTGTAGGTTATGAAAACGAACTGTGATGAGGCCTGCGTGATTCGACGAAGAGTAACATGGAATTCAGTTGAACTCATTTTCCATGAACCACAGAATTTGATAGAGCATTTACAGAATTTTAACCCGGGCCCTGGTATGTAGAAATACTGCCATACCGAAGTTCTACCCGAAGAAAAAAAATAAGTACACATGCATTCCTGGAGATTCAACAAGCGAACTCCGAGATCCCCGGTCGTAAATGTGGCGTCAACCGCTCCTACAGATTAGTACTGTTGAATAATTGCGTCATTCAGTAATCTTTGGAGCCAATGAAGTATGAACTAGTGGCACACGCGTGCGTCCAGCACACTACGACTTTTCCGTCACGAGAATCAAATTGTCAAAACAGGACACTCGGTAATTTACATTTGCCCTTCAACACGAACAGATAAAAAAACATTGGTAAGACGTTGATCCCACACCGACAAGACAATAAATATCTTCGGACATGAAAGCACATAACTATTATAGACCTTTACAATTCATTGTGAAACGATGATACATCAACAATAAAATCTTTAACTGGTTTGGGTGCATTTCAATTCTGTCTAGATGATTGCTTTTGGACATTAGTGGCTTATTGAATCTAAACAAACTTTTTCGATAGATGTAACACGAAACAATCAAGTAAAGTGCATGCTTTTTTATTGCCAATAAGTGGTTCTTGGATGTAAATTTAAACCGACTAGATACAATAGTTTATAACTAAACTAACAAGGTATTGCATTAGAGTTCTGAGGAAAATGTTCTTTCCTGATTTGAACTTAAACTTTTGAAAATGTTAATTTGAGTTGCGTTTGGTCATATGCGTGCCAGCTCTCGCAGCTCAAGAGTACAGCGAATCGAAGCACTACAATAGCTGGATTGCTCATTGGCTGTTTTTAGTGATGCCACCGTCCGCATGTTGGAGAGCCCATAATATCACAAATACGTCATCACACTGGAAAAACCTATGAACCAACTTGACGATCACCAACAACATTGACACTTGCACTTTTGTAAACTGCACAAAGAGTCGAGTTGAATAGTCAGAGGATGTGAACAAATCATTTTGTAGAACTTAAATTTATTATTAATAAGTATTGCAAGAATCGTTATTTTAACAATAATTTGAACAAATGCAAATAAAAACTTGTCTAGACTGGTACGTCACTTGGGCTGCTGCATATGGCGCCGGTGGCTTCAGTTTTTTTTTTTTGAGTTTGTGCAGTGAATAGTCAATGAGCAATCCAGACATTATCGTAAAGATCAGTGTTCACACCAGAGCAATTTAGACGCAACCATACCTGGCATTTTTTCGTTGCTCCCGTATGCTCGGCGTTGACTCTTTTGCGTTTGTGTCTAAATTGCTAGTGTGAATTAGAAGTTCTTCTCTTGTTATCTTTAACTGTCTTTTTTGTAACATTAATGAGACAAGCTCTTAGCATTAACTGATCCCAATTAATGTGTTTTGCTTCTTTAACTTAATGTTCAGGATATTGCATATTGTATCCAATAATTATTAATGATTGATTGATTTGTCTTCAGTTCTATTTTGAGTTGTTTATACTAACAGAAAATATTTATAGATGACATTAATCAAAATACCACAATCATTCTAAAAACACAAATGCACATTGTCAATCAAATTGCAACATGCTCACACTAAAGTTGTTTATTGCTACTAAGGCGAGACTTATTTTATTCCTTGTTTAGCGAACCCGCCGACTACAAATATTGATGATTTCAAATAAAAATAAAATTTTATTTATGGCCAATTAGCGCACCCCACGCCACGAAAAAGTGTAAATTTTTTTATTTTTTTATTTTTATTACGCCCTCTGCTGCCTTGAAATCACCAAAGATAAGATATGTATATTTCTTCCTAATTATATAAATTTGAAGCATTTAAACCATCCTATTTTATATTCACCAATAAAATGTTATTTTTATTTTCTCCTCCGTCTGGCTGTTTTTGGCAAAACTATTAGCTAAATAAGAAAACAAAACTTTTTATTTCTATTCCGCCCTCCTCCGATGATCTTTAAGAAACATAAGTACGCAAAACAAGGATTTAAAAAAAAAGTCTCGCCTAAAGACTATCTTTATTAAAATCTACAAAAAAATCCTTGAATATTCAACAACAACAAAATGGAATGTTTATTCAAAAGATTAAATAAATCATCAATTTCCAATTAGAAACAGAACTCAACATTCAAATTTTTCTCTTACTTAATTTTTTACTTCAAAAATCCTTACAGCATATTTAGACGAGACTTTTTTTATACCTTGTTTTGTGAACTTATTTTTTTTAAAGATCATCAGAAGGCAGAAAAAAATAAATATACAATTTGGTTTTCTTATTTAGCAAATAGTTTTGCCAAATACTGTACAGCTATAAGTCGTACGTACGCCCTAATAAGGCGTACGCCTTAGTAAGGCATACGTACGGGTTACATAAGGCGTACGTACGGGTTAGGAAAATTTAAAAAAAATTCACCATGTCCCTTAAACAGCTTTGTAGTAATGGGATGGTTAAATGCTTGAAAATTATAAAGTTAGGAAGAATTATGCATATCTTATTTTTGGAGATTTCAAAGCAGCGGCTGGAGTAATAAAAATAAGGAATAACTTTTATTTTTTTCTGAAATTTCTATTTTTTCGTGGTGGCGGGTGTGCTAATTAGCCAAAAAATAAAATTTTATTTTTATTTGAAATCATCACTATTGGCAGGGGGCAGGTTCACTAAACAAGGTATAAAAACGTCTCACCTTATGGGTATAATAATTAGAATTAATTATTATTTTATATTATTAACTTTTTTCAGTCATAGTGCATACATAGCCTGTTTTATGCAATATACAAATAACTAACTAATTTCCAAGCCACTGGGGCTCATAGGGCTGGAGCTTATCCCCAGTTTCTGTAGTGTGAAGCGGATGAGAGTTGTACTCCCCCTGGACGGGACACTAGTCCATCGCAGGTTAGTCCCCAGCAGATTGCTGGTACC